GGCACAGAACCAGCAGAAACCTGGCACGAGGACACCATGCGAATCGTCCTCGTCGTAGGATAGCTGGCTAGGCCCAGAGTTAGCTTAGCTGGGCAAGTTTAAGAGAACTACGGTACTACTGCTGCTGCAGTAAGCGGCCGACCTGTGATGGTTTCAAACCATAAGACGTACATGTGGGACGGAGTACGCATTCTTGGTACAGCTTTACATCTGCTCCGGGGTTGGCTGGCAGTACTAGCACTAAGTGTGCATTGTGGAGCGTAGTTCTGCACGTCCTGGCTTTATTTTCAGACATAATGCAGTTAGATGGCTTGCGTTGCCTATACTGTATTTTGCTTCAATAAAATTTATTTTGATGTATTTTCGATTTGGATATAAGAAGCGTTGTCTACACTTGCAGTATCTGAAAAATTTGCTGTACGGCCAGGTCTCACCTGGAAAACATAAGTTGTTCAAGAATAATGTCTGCTAGCTAAATTGAAGACATTCCAATCCTTTCTTCAGGGTAATTTTAAACATTTGCAAGCCGGATCCCTCTTTGTAAGTCAGTGCAGGTACCTGACAAACATAAAGTTTATGAGGTACCTGCACTTCGTGAGGTGTTCTTTGTTGTAAGGTACATTTTCAGAGGCATGTGATAGCCCAGACTTGCAAGAAACATCCAAGATTAAAATTAGGTGAGAGAACAAAAAGATGCCCTTCATACCTCTTCACTTCTCAGTCTTATAATTGAGAACATGCAATTCACCACTGCCTTTGTTTGTGTTAATTGGTGCTTTAGAATTACAGTACTGTTTTCAAATCCGTGATAAAATTTGCAGGATCCATCTGCAGAAATGCTAGATTGCGTACAAAAATGTTCTCGAAAATTTTCCTTGGAATGGGTTAGCAAAATTTTGGACGCTCAAAGGAGAAATGGAGGTAGTTTTCATCTCTCCGCTGAAGATTATACCTATTCCATCACTCACAAGATTATTTCACGTATTTACACAGTATTCCAGCACATCTTCAAGCCAGCTAATAGCTCCTTCCTATTAAACACGTGGTGGTTTACCTTTTTTTAATGTCCTATTGCGGAGGTACTGCCTTCTTACAAAGGACTATTTTTAATTCGTAACGTCTAGTGTTAAATGCCGCCTTCTCGTTTTTTAAAGACGAGACAGGCGCCATTCAGACCGATGGTTGAAAAAAAACATGAACTTTCACTGCCAAAATATTGCAGAATTTTAATAAATTCGAGTATGATAAAACACGTGCTGGTAGTAAGTTTCAGTTTGATAAATATTAAACATGCAATGAACGAAATGACATTATAACCTCACTAATCTTCCACTGTTCCTTTGTTCAGCCATTTTTAAATTTACAGAGTTCTGCATAAAACGGGTTCTTCTAGCTTGTTTTTTAATCATATAAAAATTTCCACAGCTTCAAATCATACAGCAATTATATTTGATGTACAGTATCTTTCTTACAATCCACATAAACGTGATGTCTGCAAGCCCAAGGCAGTATTCGATGGTCAACAGCGACAACATGCAGCTACTGTATCTTCGTGTGGAGTTATATGATAACTGTTTTGTATACCACTGGCGGTATTGGCACAATATTTATTGAGCAATTACTGGGAATGGTAGATGGACATGGTCCATGAGAAAAGGAATCTTGCCATACCTGGGCTTAGAATCAGCCAAATGAGAGTCAAAATGGAATTAAGGTATTCCGACGTTATATAATTATTTTTATGCTCAATAGACGGAAGTTTACACTGTTTCCAGATTTCATTACGGTTCCTGTACTACATGATGGAAGGTCAAAATATTGCTGTACATTTGGCCAAGCGGCATCCCCAGGATGTCGCTTTTATTGAGCAACAATATTTATATTTACAATATATTGAGCTCAACAATATTTATTGAGCAATTACTGGGAATGGTAGATGGACATGGTCCATGAGAAAAGGAATCTTGCCATACCTGGGCTTAGAATCAGCCAAATGAGAGTCAAAATGGAATTAAGGTATTCCGACGTTGGGTATTACAGTATAATTATTTTTATGCTCAATAGACGGAAGTTTACACTGTTTCCAGATTTCATTACGGTTCCTGTACTACATGATGGAAGGTCAAAATATTGCTGTACATTTGGCCAAGCGGCATCCCCAGGATGTGACAACAGAATAGAGACATGTCTTCAACGTATCCATGTACAGTATCATAAAGATACTTTTTAGAAAGACAGTCTCGTAGTGTCTGGCGCTCGCCGGCGTATGACATCGTCGTGTGTATCTGACTTTCTCAAGGGGTTTTAGCGAGCGGCGACGCAATACTCCCGCCTTGTAAGGTTACTTGATGACTCTTTTGTCGTCGTCGTCGTCGTCGCAGCAGAAAACGGTCACACATTCTACACGCACACACATACGCACCAATAAGCAAGAACCGAACAAAACTGCGCATTTCCAGGCCCAGAGAAGGACAAAACTTGAGGGCGAACCGAATAGGACGCGGCGTCATCCACACGCGGAGAAACGCGACACGGATATGAGAAACGTTGGAACTGACGCGTATATTGTTAGAGACAGGAGAAAGGGGTCTGGTGGAACAAGTTGCCTTGGAAGGTCATTTACCGGCAAGCACAGACTCGCAGCGCAGGAACGAACACTTACGAATCAATAAGGGTTAGCTGTTCCACACGGTTGCCCTTGTCGGCCGAGAAGACCACTACCCAATTTTGTTTGCGTTATGCTGCTTTCAAGACATGCAATTTTTCACGCATTTACCATATACAGCTGGAGTACTATTTTGTAGATTACCATGCCCATGCAGGGAAATAGGTAATGACTTTTCAGTAATACAACAGTATTTACGAAAATAATGCCCTCATTGGAGCTCAGGGAACATCAGTAACCAAAAATTGCGCATTTACCATAAAAAGGGCTTCACTTTCTCTTGGAATGAATCCATCAACTAATACATCCGTCAGTATACTTTTTTAAACTATGGACAAGAAATATAAAAAATGATAACCAGAAAGGGCATATTTCATACCTGCTGCAATTACGTACATTAACCACAGTATAGTGATTTTCACCAATAAACTGTGCAATGAAACGATTGAAAAATTATTCAATTTTGCTCACGTGAACACGCAGAGATTTGCAGTTGTTAATTTCATCTGGAAATCTTGATAACTTTTTCCCGCTACAGCAGTACTGTATACACCTTTCAGGAGGCCTTCCAGCACATCCGTTCCTTATTTGCTCACAGCAATTTCCTAAAGAACAAATTAGCAATTTCCTAATTTCATAAAGCTGTTCACAATCATGATTTGAATTTATAAAAATTGTACCTGCATGTAAAACAAAAAGATTTTTTCTCGAAAAAATTCATAGAAAAAATTTCGAATTTTAATTTTTCTTCAATTTTGATAACGGTGTAACGTATGACCGTTCAATACCCTCATCAGCAATATAGCACTAAATTTGTATCAAAGCTCAAAACTTTGACCAAAAAATCGACTCATATAAAAGCATTTCGCTGCTCGGGTGGAGTAGGAGTACCGTATACAATATAGGCGATTATAGATCCTGGAAACGTTGTACAGAACGATTCAATATTCGCATGCAAGCCCGTACTGTACAGTATATCATCCTCTCATCAACGTCACGTCCCAGGCTTCAACTCTTCAAATAAACCGCCCCATCAGTTTCCAAAAGAAAATATTACGAAAATTTTGTTCGCCCAATGCACGTTATTGAAAGATGCGAGCAAGCTCATCCGGAAAGCGCAAATTCTCGATTCCTGATGAATCAATCCGCGTGACCTCACGGTTTCCACTGCCTCACGCGCTTCGTAGCGAACAAAACTTCCAACGAGGCACCTCTGAATCATACACCCAACGGTTTTAACCGCCATCTAAGCGATCATGCCCAAAACTCTTCGCTGAATTCATTTTTGATTAGCCGAAGAAGCCAATCTCAGCATCGCGCAGATCGGGGTTTTCAGGGGGGGGGGGGGGGTTAATTTTTAAATCATAGCACCCTCTGCACTGATTTTCTGATCGAAACTGCATATTGTACTGTACGCGCACGAAATGGAAGCAGACAAACGGCAGGTTTCGAGATCACTGTCCAGAATAAATTGCCATTCCAACTTCAAGCGACATCTAGAACAACTTTATGACGAACAATTGTTCGAAATAGAAAGGTTACAAAATAACCTCACGAATTAGAAAGAGAAAATGACGAGATTTTTTCCAATGCTTAAAAGTTACACTTTATCCGTTTCTAAAGTTCGGAATGATCGAAACATCCTGAGTATCACGGGAAATCGTAAGAAACGTTCTTCAAATCACAGAATTTAACTTCCTTCGACTGCTGGTAAAATTTATCGTTGCCTTAAACCTCCTCAGTTTTAAATTTACTGGTTCTTTTATACTTCAGTTAATTTGTCTGACTGAATCTTAACAGCAATTTCAAGTATACAACTTGGGTCCATGTGGTATAGACGACATGAATGCATCATGTCGAATGCATTCATTTAATTTGATTTTGTGCTGTTCTGTTCCCTCTTACGTGAAATGTTATGATTTATTGTTTCGCCAAATAAAGTTATACATAAAAAATGAAAATAAAGGTAATGTGTTTTTTAAATGTGTTTCATGTTTGCTGACTTCACCAAGCTATTTTTAAATCTGTCAAGACATTATAATTTGTATTGTCCGAGCAAGGGATTCATTTTACCGGGCCAGAAAATGTATCACCAACACTTTTTCTTAGACTTTGTTTTAAAGCCAAAATTATTTTCTACGTTCATTGACTTCACGACACGGTCACACTGTTCACACCTAGTAACACGTTTAGCAGAAATGCTGCGTTCTGCATTTCACTAAGATCAAAAAACATTTTTCTTCTCATCAACGAAGTTTTTTTATTTTTCAGTCCCGACAGTGCGACAGATACAGCAAAAGAATAAATGTTAAATAGATTGTGTCCCATTTTAAAAATGTGCATGGACACACAATACGGTATAATGTACAGTCCTAATGTGAGTGTACTGTGCCATCTGCGCAGAATTGGCTCCTGGAGCCCTTGCACTACGACCTCATCCGATTTATTGCTACACGTGAATAACTTTTTCAAAATTCGCTTTTTTTCGCGAGGGTTGCACTAGTGCATATCGTACTTATATCAATATACTGTAGTTGAACAAGCGGCCTGCAATTAAGGTCAAATAAGCTCATGAAATTTCTGTCGGACATGAAAGAAAGTTGTTACGCCAGAAATGTCCTTGAGCAACATAACTTTTTTTCCAACATTTTGTTCTGCTTAATTCTCTGATATATTCTTTGATCCACTTCCTTGTGGCGATAAAAATCGTTTCAAACGTATTTTTACTTACCTTATAAAAATGCGTATGCGGAGTAATAATCTGAATCAATAACCACAAAAATCAATTTCAGCTCTGGGACTGGTTCATCGCGTTCAACCACCCGAAGGACGTGTGGAGAAGGCAGCCGACGTACCTGATCTCAGAATACACATATTACTTGGGTGGACTTCTCACCTTGATCCATGGTTAGTATACAACGTAGCCACAAGATTTCATTGAGAACCAATGCTAATACTAGACAAGGAAGATGCTTTTCAAATCTGAGAGTACTGTATTCCTGTATCAAAACTGCTATTCTGTCTCATCGCCGTCCTTCGAGATCTAGAATGGGGTTCCCTATACCCCCCCCCCAACAGATTACACTCATTCATATACAAGCAATTAATGTTCTGCGGGCTTGGGAAGACCTAGCTTATATACCGTACTGAATATATCATGCTTCTTTTCATATACGTTCCCCTGGCAGCGTTGCGGATGGGAGGTCGTTACAAGTATTTATGGCTCGCTTCGTTGCTGCACGGACTCTTCGTGGAGAATATTTGCTTCTGGTTTCCGGAGTACATTGACAACTACTGGCATTCTCAGACAACGGTTGTTCTGCTCGGCCGCCGGCTTCCACTGCACATCATTTTCCTTTGTAAGGCGACCACTTGTATATACAGTACATATATACTGCAGAATATATGTGATGTGAATGTGGTAAACAAAATATCACTTGATTGTACCGAATATTTATACAGACAAACCTCTCGTAGCCAAATTTCCATGGACCAGCAAAAGCAATTTGACTTGGGGAGGTTTTGATTCAGGGGTGAGGTTTCAAGTTAGGCGGAACCAAGCATTTTTGTTGTGGGAAACATCATAAAAATTGCTGGAAAATTTAAATGGTGATATATTCTCTGGGCCTTTAACTGCTTCTTCAATGAGGTCATAGCATGCTGAACTTGGAGGCAGGGTTCATTTGTCCAAGCAGTCTTTGAATTCCTTTCAAAACACATTGTTACCTTTTTATTGCTTTTTTTCTTTCCTATGTCTAGAAAATAATCGACAAAAGGCCTCAGCAAATTAAAATCAGGGAGGTTTGAGAGGAAAAATCTTGTAAGTTAAAGAGGTTTTTGACGCATTGCTGCTATGGAAATTCAGACGGGACTTTCAGAAAATTTGACTTGAAGATATTCAACTTAGTGGGGTTCAAGTTATGGAGGGTCAACTGCAAGGATAGATGATGAATGGTCCAATTAAATATGCCCGCTCCTGATCAAGTGCTGGATGCAATGACTCAACGATCTTACGTAAAAACCGTAACTTAATTAATACTGTAGCTCCACATGGAAGAGGGAGATCATCGAATGAAAAACGATAATTATTCAATCGATTTCAGGACTTCGGTTAGATATGTATGCATGCAGTCTTGTGCGTTATTATATACAATACAGTGATTAACTTCATTCCACGTAGTTTTGTACGTGTTCGAGTTACACCCGGGAGGGCTCTTGTACAGGTGCATGGAAACTGACCAGATGTTAATTCAAGGAAATTGACCCCGAATGATATGGTCCATGTTGAAAGTGGTGAAATGCAAAGAAAGGTTGAAAACTCCTGGTGTAATCTTGAAAACCTTGAATAACATTCTTTCCAGATCCGACTTTCATCTACACGGCATCTGCAAGTGTGGCGCGACTGCGTTTACCAAAATGGGCTGAGCCATTTGCAGGTTGGTTTAATTTTATTATATTTTGAATTCAATGCTGCTCCACCCAATTCAAGCTTGTTTTCAACTGATGGGCATTTAGTCCAGTGTTCTCCAACCTTTTTGCGCCCATGCACCAGCAAATTTCCATAGAATTTTTGGCAGACCAGCAAATTCTCAAAAAATTGTCTGTGGACTGACAAAGTTTCATAAAATTTGTACAGACCGGAAAAAATGTTGCTTAGATAGACTTTATGGCAGGTATATAAAAGTTGTTGCTTCTTGCAAAAATTAAGTTGAGCACCTATGAAGCAGGCTGAATGTCATCAAAAACTTAGAAAGGCAAACCTTGAAATAATTTATTTCAGCCGGTAAAATTGTGTCAGAACTCAGTACTGTTATTAGGATAAAAGCCAACTCCCATGTATCATCAAATGCTTACAACTGTGTGTCTGGAAGTTTTATATAATGATAAGAGAATATATTGCTACTACTGCATTTATAAGTGTTATGCTGGAAATTTCCCGCGGACCAGCAAAAAACTTCTGCGGACTGGCGCGCCGGTCCGCGGACCACTGGTTGGGGAACACTGGTCTAGACTGTCTAGAGAACAAATGATCTGTGTGAACGACAGCAGCTTTTCAAAATCTAGATTAACATCGATGAAAATCTGTATTTGGGAAAAAAATGTCCGAACTTTTCGAAAAAAATAAACACCGCATTATTTCGAATACCGGTTTCGACGCGGAATCCTAATCTTTTAGAAACGTGCAAGGTTCGGCTTGACATTTTTGTGAGTTTTTTTCTCTCTTAAAAAATGAGTTCATCTCCGCATCACCTCATCAGCCATCTTGATTCTGGAACAGCTGTCCGAAGTCTTCTCCACTGTCCTCACTGAAAATTATAAGTTGAATCGATACTTTGAAAAAAAAACAGGGGGAAAGTGAGGATCTACGTTTTCGATAGGTTTTTATTTTCTGATAACCTAGTATCTGCGTCAAGATTTTTCCAAGCCACGTGATATCTTCTATTCATTTCTTCGGGATCCTTTATTCTCAATGTTAGCACTGACTTGGGCCTATGTATCTAGCTCACCAGTTGACATTCTTAAGCGATCCTCACGCTCACAAACATAAAATATCAGTATTTTATTCATCAAAAGATGGTTGCCTGCGATATCCCTCAACAGAATTTCACTTCATAAAATGTGTCTGAACTTATGCCGGACTTCCTGACGGAGGAAGCGCGGAAAGACGGAAAAGTTGAGGAACTGACTTATTGTTTTCGTGCCTGGAATTTTAACGAACGAGCACTGAATTCATTATTACGCAAGAAAAAGTAAGAGGTTCCATGTAAAATCTAAGCAAGTTTATTTTGAGAACAGTCTTGCATCGCAGCTGAATGCATAATGCATCTTTCTTTAAAGTCGGCCTGACGGTGGTGCTCATCGACATTCCATACGACACTACTGCGGTTCGCTTTCTGCATTGGGCGTGGCACGACACCGACGCGAACATCTACGACAGACATTATTGGGTGCCATGGAACTCGTACTATTTCCACGCTACCTTCGCCGCGGCTTTCACCATTTTGCTGAACTTCTATCGCAAACTCGTTACCAAGGAGGAAGACAGGAACGTGACAGCTTCGTGAGTACAGTACAGTAGTACTGTTCTATATATACTGAACAGAATATTTGACTCATTTCGAGAATCGAACGTGATAGAACAGCGAGCTTGCGCAGAATTTCAGCCATCGACTCCGTTGGAATCTCGTCTCCATTTATCCACAGAACATTTAATTACAATATGAGAGCTTAGCTTCTCCGCTTCATTACTTTATACCTTTTGGCCATATCCGTTCAAAATACGATTTACTAAACAGCAATTTCAGAAATGGAAACATACTCATTCTTCTAGAAAGGACAAAAAAGCAGCTTTTCCATTTGGAAGCCTTTTCTAGGCGGTTTTATTAAAGCTTGAGAAATAAATGAGAGCAACCGATTTTTCAGATGATGTTCAAATTGTGGCAATTTTAGGACGAGATCAAAAATAAAACAAACATTTTTTTCGGACAATAGAACTTGATTTTATTTGGCGCCCCGTCTAACTTTTAGGTGCTGTATGTTCTCAGTTAGTGGTAAACTACTGTACACCATTACAAATCTGTGAATGCTGGAAATCGGAATTTGGCCTAGAGATCAGGCTTTTCAAGAATCATTGTTCTATACATTGTTCAAGAATCATTGTTCTATACAGCGCAGTAAAGAGAATTGAACCAATTCATAACCATTTCTTTCGAGGTAAGTGTTTGTCAAAATTTAATGTCAATGCTGAAATGACAGTTGAAAATATGAATTTGGAGCGAATAAATTCAATTTGCATTATTGAAGCACAATTCGTAATTCAATTGCCTTTTCGTGGAAATGTACAGCATTCGAAATTAAGAGCTCCATTCGAATTCCATATCAATGAAGCGTTTTTAAAGGTAACTGCAAACATCAGGGCCTTTTTCAAGTAAATTACACATCGCTTTACCACTAACTTACGATGCTAAATACACAATTTTGTAAACCAAGTTCAACATTTTCAAGAAATCTCAGAACAAAATGTCCTACAGCAAAACAAATTTAAGCGAGTAAAACGCATAAAAAGCCACGAATTTCATCATGCGCCCGACGTTTGCAGCTTCTGGGCGAAAGAACGCGTTTGCTGGCATATCAGAGCCATTGTTGAAAATTAATCCCAATAATGCATGTAAGAAACCAAAAGGAACACAGTGGACCAAAGAAGGGTGAGCATTTTCAGTTAATTTGATGTCTTCGAAACACAAAAACTTGAAAGTTTTCGATTCCGCCTTTCGCAATGACTGTAATACTCATCGTCATGGATGCAGGTGCGGGAAGGAGGTTCTTTGCTCTTTCCTCGTCGGGGTGACTGCGATGCCTCTGGGCGTTCTCATGTTCGTTCCAGTATACCACCCATTGCACGACTTGTTCGGAATTCACAACGAAAATTGCTTCTTCATTATCTTGGTCATCTTCCTCACGATCGTTTGGAGAGCCGATCGCCACGCTGGGCAAGCATCGCGTCCACAAAAAGGTAGATATTATACGCTAAAAATCTCGTTCTCGAGATGAAGGAATTCATTAATTGACACGAACACCCGGTAATGACATAAGGCGTTTCGAATGGATGGATCAACGAGCTGGTGTTGCTTCTACTCGTTCACTACTCCGTTTACCTCGGCTGCGTTTCTCTTGCTGATCCTGGGAAAGAAGTTTCAGTAGGGATGCATGAAGTCACCGGACCTTGCCATGAGAAGGTTTTCATCCCAACGATTCTCGGAATTGTAAGTACAGGGTACAGGGAGAATTTGAAAAGAAAAATCCAACGAAAATGCTTCTTAGAATGCGAAAAACTACAGTACTGTTTAGTACATTGACAGCAAAATTAGCTTGCAGAATATCCAACGCCATGTTAAAGATCAACAGCTGTCGCTGCCGGCGAAGTCAAACCTACAGTACCGCATTTAGAGATAATTTCAAGCTTCAACAGCAATTTGACAGGAAAATACCGAAACTCAATTAAGACATCAAATTTTGCATTGAAATTACCATCAGAAGCAACACACAATTGGGCCTTGAGGAACGACCTAATCCACTCCAACAATTGTTTTCCAGCTCAAAGCATGTGTTCCAATAAAGTCATTATGTCCCACAGTAACATACGGCAAATTGTTTAATTGATTTCAGAACAAAAACTTGTACAGGTGAAATTACAGAAATAAGCAGAACAAATTAATAAACTGACGAAGAATACATTAGGTGTTACGACTAGACTTCCTGCAACAATTTTCTCTTTGAAAATTTCTTTCCCATCCCACAGAGGTCTCTAGAGTCTACACATCTTACCGAGGCTCTCTTCAGCAAATTTTTTTTCCAGGTCCCCTGAACTCTGTCGTCGAGATATTACACGAATACGACATTTCAGTTGAAAACTATTAAAAGCATGCGAACTTAGAAGCACGAAGAAACTTCAAATCCATCATGATTTTAATTTCCATTTAAAGTTAATTCCTTATTCCAACTTTCCTTACCCCGTTTTGTGAACACAGTATATTGTCCTGAAAATTTTCGCAAATTTCAAAGAAAAACATACTTTTAACGATTTATTATTACCTTTCACTCGATTTCTTGCTTGCTCCATAGTCAAGTTTTTTGCTCCAGGAAAAGTGGCGTCTGAATCTAGGTTTTTTTCAGAGACGTTTCAATGCTCATGACTCCACTGGGGTACCCAGAATTGATTGAGCAGCAAAAACGTGAGTATTCACGACCCCAAAAATCTTGCCTGATTCACATAGAGAAGAGGGCATTGAAGTAGTAAGTGAATGCGTACGGTAGAACTTTACCACGATGGTCGGGAGTTAGTCAAGTTGTGAAACATTATCTATTGCTGTACCATGTGTAAAATGAACAGAATAGGTTCTGTAAAAATGCATCATCTGCACCCAGAACCATCTTCGAAAGTTTTCCTACCATTTCCTATGCTATAGGCGAAGGGATACTGGCATACTGCTGTCAAAATAATGATCAGCCAACAACTTGAACAATCGAAAATTGATCCTTCAACAGGATTTACCTCGTCGAAAATACTTCTGCACGTCGGACTACGACGAAGGATACTTCGACTTTCATTGCTTGCCAGGCGGAAGAGCGCCAGCTGATGGACTGGAGTGGTACACGATCTGTGGCGTGCCATTCGCAAACAGAATGGAATACATCGCCATGGAGGCCCTCATATTTTTCCTGGCGCTCAACGTGTTCTTCCAGATGCATTACGCAAGTGGCACATTCCCACAAGCTGTGAAAAAGGTTCAGCAGGCGAGAGAAAAGAAGAAACAGCGCTGATACGAACACGGAAATATT